GAGCAGTTAGTACACTTGCGTGGGAATTTGAATTGTGGATGACTATTGGCGTAGAACACAGCCCTGAGTTTACATCTTTGAAAACCTCTCGTGTAATTTGTAAGACTTCAATAATTACAATTATAAATATATATAATAAAATTAAAGAATATTTTACAATCGAAAAGCATTATTTAAAAACAAAATCTATTATTTTTTATTATTTGCATCGATTTTGGAAAATTATAAATAAAATAAGATATTCAATGTATTCACACTCCTAAATTCGCAAATGATCTACAGCAATTGCCTGATTTTAATACACGCTCGCTGGTCTGTATATATACATAATAGCGTACTTTTATTTCTATTTTGAATTATCTTTCACTTGGGAGAGAATTTAAGAAACTTCCGAACAGGTAAGATTGTATACTGCTAATTCCTAAATTCGTTTTCTTTTCTACTTGTATATAAAATTGTTTGGTTTATTTTTTCCCCCTTTCGACATTTCCTCTCAGTGAGGTTTGCCATTTTATCAAGGAAAGATTTAAGAAAACGATTCGAAATTTTTAAAATTTACTACCGAAATTCGGGGTGAGTGGTTTCAACATTAAGAGCGGTACGTCCAATTTATGGTCGTCATAATCGTCCTGGCAAAACAACAAACGAGCGTTTAGTGGAAAAATTTTAATTCACAGGTACACTAAAAATGTTCCAGGGCTAGTGAGACAAGAAGTGCCCGTAGTGTCGATGAAAATTGGGTTCAGAGCTTAGACTTCTGCAAGTCATGTTAAAAAAATTCGATCTCTATACACAATAGCATCGAAAGTCCTTTATAAGAATAAAGAATTTCATTATCTTGTTAAGTTTTATTATAAAAAAAAACTTTTGTAGCGCTCTTATTGATAACCTCTATAATATTCAGAATGATGAATTGAAATAGAAAATATAATTTCTAATCCCATTGGATATTTAAAAACTTCGCAACCCTGGAACTATTGAGGTCATACTTTCTTTTATATAATAAGTACAGTGAAATTCCCCAATACGGAGTCCTCATAACCTGTACAAATTTCATGAACATTTTTCATTAATATTTTCATACAGAACCACTTCCTATAACCGGACACGGATACTTCTCTTCTTCTTAATTTGCGTAGACACCGCTTACGCGATTATAGCCGAGTTAACAGCGTGCCAGTCATTTCCTCTTTTCGCTACGTGGCGCCAATTGGGTATTCCAAGCGTAGCCAGATCCTCCTCCGCCTGGTCCTTCCAACGAAGTGCAGGTCTTCCTATTCCTCTGCTTCCCTCGGCGGGTACAGCGTCGAATACTTTCAGAGCTGGATGTGTTTTCGTCCATTCGAACAACATGACCTAGCCAGCGTAGCCGCTGTCTTTTAATTCACTGAACTATGTCAATGTCGTCATATATCTCATACAGCTCATCGTTCCATCGAATGCGATATTCGCTGTGGCCAACGCGCAAAGGACCATAAATCTTTCGCAGAACTTTTCTCTCGAAAACGCGCAAGGTCGACTCATCAGTTGTTGTCATCGTCCAAGCCTCTGCATCACATGGCAAGACGGGAATTATGAGTGACTTGCGAGTTTGGTTTTTGTTCGTCGACGGAGGACTTTGCTTCTCAATTGCCTACTCAGTGCGAAGTATCACTTGTTGGCAAGAGTTATCCTGCGTTGCATTTCCACGGTGACATTGTTGGTGGTGTTGATGCTAGTTCCAAGATAGACGAAATTATCTACGACTTCAAAGTTATGACTGTCACCAGTGACGTGAGTGCCAAGTCGCGAGTGCGACGACTGTTTGTTTGATGACAGGAGATATTTCGTCTTGCCCTCGTTCACTGCCAGACGCATCTGCTATTCTTCTGTCCAGTCTGGAGAAAACAGGGTTTGAGGCCGATGATATCAATATCAACCTTCCTTGTGTTTGTTGACGTGCGCCTTTTGCGTCACAGAGGCGGATGAGAATCTTTTCTACAACAAGATAGTGGTCCAAGTCGATGTTGGTACCTCGGAGCGTACGCACATCGAAAACACTGGAGACGTGTCTTCCGTCTATCACAACATAATCGATCTAGTTGGTGGTTCTTCGATCAGGAGAACAGGAGACAGCCATATTTCGAGCCCCGGCGAAGTCGATCAGCCGCAAACCATTTGGGGCTGTTTCCTCGTGGAGGCTAAATTTACCCACCGTAGTGCCTGTCCATAGTTATCTTCTTTGCATACCCTGGCGTTAAAGTCGCCAAGCACGATTTTGACATCGAGAAGGGGGCAGCTCTCATAAGTGCGCTCCAAGCACTCATAAAAGGCATCTTTGGTCACATCGTCTTTCTCTTCCGTCGGGGCGTGGACGCAAATCAGCGATGCGTTGAAGAACCTCGCTTTGATGCCGGAAGCTGTGGCTAGACGTTCATTCACCGGAGTGAATGATAGTACTCGGTGACGGAGTCTCTCTCCCACCGCGAATCCCACACCAAACATGCGCTCCTTTATATGGCCACTGTAGTAAATACCACAAGGACTTACTCGTCTCTGTCCTTGTCCCGTCCATCGCATTTCTTAGACGGCGGTCTTCAAACGGATGTTCTTAGACTACCCAAAGACCGGAAGTCGTGAGCTGCTTGAGTCATATGTAAAAGAATCGATTCTGACCACTCCCAAGTGAATTCCCCCTGCGGGTAGGGGGGACCCCTCCGGGTTCGAGGGGAAACCGAATATACCCGCGGCAAGGCATACCTGTCGTAAGAGGCGACTAAAAGCCATATGCACTATGTCAGGCTTTAGAGACCATGTTCTATAATATTCTGCTGGGAGTAAAATTTTTAGCTTTATATTTATATCACAAAATATAAGGCATTTGTCACAGCGACAAATGCAACCAGTCATTGAGTTTTTGGGGACTCAACTGGTAGTAGCAAAAGCTACAAAGTCAGACCAAAGACTTAAACCTGGTGCCATGGGGAGCAGTAAGCCCTTGGAGGTAACTCCAATCTGCTCATTGGGTTTGGCYCTTTGTGGAGATTCGTGGTGGCTGTGGTTTAAACCTAAATGCAGGAAGGGCATTTTGTCCAATGCGGAGTCGCACTGCGGCCGGGTGCCGGACCCAGAGTACGGCAGAGGTTTTAGATGGGCCTCGAACCCGACCAAGGTGACTAGGGTGTCCCTATCCACCCGAACCAATTGGAACCAAAAATTAAGTGCAAAATGAATTTATGCTTTGGGGTGCTGATCAACGCATTGTATTGATCTATGTGCTTCTAGCAATAGTAAGCACAGTGGAGTTTAGACTTCATAGACAGGTATTCACGTAAAAACACATTGACACTCCCAAGTGAATGGCGATCAGAGAACTTTCCTCACTTGCGTGAACTTCTACACATGACCCCATCCTTCGGATACTATTTAGGAAATATTTCGTTTAAATTATCTCTGATAAAAGGTGAAGATTTCATAAAATGTGTAGTGTATTTATAGTTCCCTAATTTTTTTAAATTCTTATTAATTTTTGGTGTTTTGCGATAGCTGTTTTCAGTGTTTCAGCAATACGTAAAGTGATCACAGCGAAAAACTGTATGGCGCTGGTGCCGTCTGAATAGCGGCGGCTCAACGGAAACTAATACGATAATTGTCATTCATTCACTTCCGACTGATATTGGTTCAGTAGAAATATAGTTTTAAATTGCAGCTCCTAACCTTAAACATTTACATTTTAAACATTCGTTTTTGCCACGCCCCATATATGAACAACTTCCTTAGCCGAATAAAAACACTGCAATGGTAGGTGTCCGGTTATGAAGAATTTTCTCAAAGTTCAAGTTTAAAGCCTTAAATCAATAATATGGTTTCGGATTACGTGTTCTTGAATTGAAATAAATAACTTAGTCGAGAATGGCATTGTAAATAAATAATAATGATAAAAAAATATGTAATAATAATAAAAAAAAATTAATAAATAATTAATAAAAATCCCAAAGAAATACCAACATATAATATATACTCACTTGTAATCTTCAACTTCATAATCAATATTCTGATAAATTTCCATTTCATTATGCAAAAGAGGTGCAACCTGAAATATAAATGAAATAATAAGTATTACAATGGTAGATAAGTTTGATGATTATTGTTAATTAAAAATTAATAAACAGTGAAAGGTACAATTTTTTTAATACAAAATGTTTGATAGAATTACGAGTTCTATAAAAAAGCATGCAGCTTCATAGAACATATTACATTAGGTAATACCCGGCACATTTTCTTTAAAGCCTGAAGTATTCATATTGTGCAATGTGTATACTTACATCTCTATCAATGCCGGGAATGAGAATGTTGGTATCCTTGTCTACAAGTACACTGAGAAGATAGCAAAGATCTGGCATTGCTTCATGCACAGTGCCACCAAATACACCACTATGTAAATCTTTAACAGCACACTCTACTTCAATAGTATAATAAACTAAGCCACGAAGACCATAGGTTAAACATGGTCGTTTCTTCCCAAGCCAATAATTATCAGATATACAAACATAATCGATATTTGACAAAAACCCGTTTTTACGAGCTAGCAAAAGATCATCCAGACCCTCACTACCACTTTCTTCCATTCCTTCGAAAACAAATTTTATGTTGACGGGTAAGTCAATATTTAGTTTTTGGAATGCCTCAATGGCATGTAGCCAACATAAAACAGGTCCTTTGTCATCACTTGCACCACGGCCATACAACTTTCCATCGATTTCGGTCAGATCAAAAGGCTCCGTATTCCAACCATCTTCTTTCAAAGCTGGTTGTACGTCCAAATGACCGTAAACTACAATTGTCTTCTTTTTTGGATCCTATAGATATTAATAAATCATAATTACATAATTTACGTTAAATTTAAAACATTTAATTTCAAACCTTTCCTAGAGTTCCTAAAATCACATTCGGCAGGGCTATTTCTTTACCATTCGTTAACCGCTGTCTACCAATATCAGCCAATTCAACATCAGCACCGAGGCTTCTCAACTTATCAGCAACCAACCGCACCATAGCTTGTATTTCATTGCGCTTATCAGGCCACGCTGATACCGATTGTATGGCAACAGCAACCTTCAACGCAGTAATATATTCTTCCTTGTTGGAGTTGATATAGCTAGCAATGGAACAACAAAAATAATAATCAACATCACCAGCATACATATTTGGGTAATATTTTAAGCAATAAAACCACTTAGATATATCCCAATTTAATATTGATATAAGAAATAATAAAAACCTAAACAATGATTACGAAAGCACAAATAATTCCAATGGAAATGTGCGATAACTGGAAAATTTTCTCAGAAAGGGTACTTATGTTATATATGTATTTCAAGTAAAATGTTTTTCATTTAACAATTTCGTTATCTCGTAGATATTCGTTCGAACTTTTCATTTAAATTTAAACTCTCGCGGGTAATTTTTAGAATAGCATCCCCGGATTTCAGGGTTAAAATGGGTATGCATAGAGAGGATCCTCTAGATTAAGTAAAAAAAATATATATAGTTGCCGCTGATTTATGGTTTTTGAGATATTTGCATTTAAAGTTAAAAAATTCAGCTACTTAAAATACGTGTTTTTCCCATTTATAATAAATTTTACTATGTTTTTAACTTTTATGTCTCCTAACACTTCAGTAAATCATTTCTAACTATTTATTTTATATTAAATAGTGCAAAAATAACCTTTATCCAACATTTAACTTTTGTTCGTACAATAACAAAAGGGTTGCATTCGGCACGATTACGATTCTTTCGGCGCCGCGATTTGATGGTACGGATGGATAGAGGAGGTCCTCAGGATTAAAAAATGTACACACATATACCGTCCTCAGACTCATAGTTTTCGAGATATTTCACTTTAAAGTTCCACAATTTTATATGCAATTCACTCTTATTTTGTTTTGTTTTTTTTACATGTCATGATAAATATCAGTGTTGCCACAGTTTTCTGTTTAACATATATAGAGAAAATTGTACAAATGGTTTTTGTATCTTATGTTATTTGATAAATAAAGATAAAAAATAATATTCCCTTATGTTGAATTACTTTATGCGCTTAAAAAAAAATAACCCTGATCGGTCCAACACCGGGGGAATCATAGTTTTGTGTTGAACGACTTTTTGCACTGGCGGCCTTTGGCCGCGCTTCTAAAAAAATAACCCTGGTCGGTGCAGCATCAGGGTGATCATAGTTCTTTTGTGTCGAACTACTTTCTGCACTGGCGACCTTTGACCGCGCTGCGAAAAAAATAACCGTGGTCGGTCCAACACCGGGGTGATCATAGTTCTTTTGTACCGAACTACTTTCTGAACAAGCGGCCTACGACCGCGCTGAAAAAAAATAACCCTGGTCGGTCCAACACCGGGGTAAATATAGTTCTTTTGTGTCGAACTACTTTCTGCCCTGGCGGCCTTCGACCGCGCTTCAAAAAATATAACCCTGGTCGGTCCAACACCGGGGTGGTTATTGTTCTTTTGTGTCGAACTACTTTCTGCACTAGCGGTTGTTGTTGTTGTTGTTGTAACGGCAGAAATTCTGCCGAGTTGACAGTCCTTGACCGGATAAAAATCCGGGTCTGTTCCGGTTTTCGTAGACCCGACTGTCGTGGGAACGGTCAAATAGCGGTCTTCGGCCGCGCTTCAAAAAAAAAAAAATAACCCTCATCGATCGAAAACCTATATGAATCAAAAGGGGAAAAATTCTGAAAAACTTTGCTTTCTATAATAAGTTTTTTCATTTATATCTCTAAATATGAAACAGATTTTTTATTAAATTTTCAGGACACAAAGTATGGCAACACTGCTATTTGTCATAAATGTAAACATAAAAATCTCTTGAATCTTTGAATGTGCAAAATAGTTTTAAAGTATATTTATTTTCTTAAAAAATATACAATTAGTGTAAATTTTTGATACATACGAATGTGTACAGTGTAATTAAATATATATTAATTAAAAAATGTGTGAAAAGTGGGTTAAACATAGTGAAATAACGAGCATTGTTTTTACAAATTTTTGAACATTAAAGTAAAATATCTAGAAAACTGGGAGTCTGAGAATGGTATATGTGCATACATTTTTTAATCCTGAGGACCTCCTCTATCCATCCGTACCATCAAATAGCGGCACCAAAAGGATCGTAATATTGCCTTGCATTCTAACTAATAATCAGTGATACCTTACGTCCATATTTTACAGAAGATCCAAAAGAAATAAAGAAAACAAATAATATCCCAATAACAGGAAATATATAACACATTAGTTCTTAGAATTCCTTTCTGCATTGGCGGCCTTCGGCAGCGCTTCAAAAAAACAACCCGTGGTCGGACCAACACCTGGGCATGCTCAGTTTGTTTTGCGTTGAACTTTTTTTTTGCCCGATCCAACACCGGGATTTATCAAAATAATGAGAATTTTGAAAGATTTTACATTACTCATCACACGATAATGAATTTAGTTATGACGTCATAATCTTTCTTTTTTCTTACTTTTATTACCTTACAAAATATGGTAACACTAATTTTGGCACGGTTCCGATTACTTTGGCGGAGGGGCAAAAAAAACCGAATTTCCGTATAAATGGGGTATGAGCGGATAGGGGAGCTTCTCCAGGCACAATTTTGATTATAGGTAGCTGGTTTTCCTCGTAAATATAAACACTAAACTTTTCAGCCATAAATTTGTTAAGTGATTTTTAAATTACTAAATCTACCTGAAAAATTACAAAATAAATGTGAAATGTGAGCTTATTTCAATGTTTAGAGTGTATATTTAAATATACATATAAAAAAACGTGAACAAATTTAGTGAAACATAGAGAAATAATTATGTTCTTAGTGCAAATTTGTGAATTTTTAAACGTGAATATTTTAAAAAATATTTGCTACATATGTACTTTTATATTATTTTTGGATATTCCTCCTCTGGAGAAAGGGGCAACGAACATACCCCATTCCTACGGAAATTCGGTTTTATTACCCCTCCGCGAAAGTAATCGGAATCGTGCCCTTCTCCAGAGGAGGAATATCGAAAAACAATATAAAAATTATTTACATTTTTTAAAATATTCACGATTAAAAGTTCTCCTTTCTGCGTTGGCGGCCTTTGAGTTTTCGTTATAAATTGGTTTTTATATCTGTTAGCGATTTCCACTTATTTTTGATAATACATACGATGTTTTGTATATTAGGTGACAATATATATAATATTATTATATATTACTTATTTCTTTATTAAATTAAATAAAGAACATATCCATAAGCATGGATAGAGGAATTTTTGGGAAAAAAGGAATTTCCCCGAATTTCCTTATTATCACAAGGCAGCGCTCCATTTCGTCGTAATTTTGAGCACACAAATGGTGTTCACTACGAGTGTAAAATGTAACTTTTAAAATAAAGATTTCTTAGGTAAAACAAAAACCTGCTAAAAGTGTAAAATGTGGATTTATTTAAAAGTTTATAGTTTAATTTAATTAATTTGAAATTTCTCGACATGTTCGAATTTTCGGAATTTTTGAACTTTAAAGTCGAATATCTCCTAAACTAAGCGTTTGCCGTACCTATAACACCATATATTTTTTAATCAGGAGGACTTCCTCTTTCCAACGGTTCCTTCAGATCGCGGCGCCAAAGAAATCGGAATTGTGATATACAAATTTTTTAAAATATTAAATTTATTTATAGTAGATCTCACATATAGGAGTGATTTATAAAAATTATTATCGACAACAGTCGCACTCAGTCCGAAAAAGTGGGTTTAATTAAATTGGTGGAACATTTTATACATACATTTCGCTTTCACGACAGTGAATTAAATGCACTGTTTTCCTGAAATCATATACATATATTGGTAAAAGTGTATTCATATGTACATTTATGGACGAAATGTGATAAGAAGGGAAATAAAGTTTAATCCCATTTTTAGATAATATGGAAAACTTATTTGTTTATAATTGTTATTTGTTTTGTACATTAATATTCACCTGAAAAGCTGTTGCAAAACATTGGGTAAGTCAGCCATATTTCACTAATAAACACTTGTTAAGAATTCCTGTTTTTATATTCACTTACGAAATTCAAATAACTTTCTCCCGTAAAATTTCATCAACCGCTCAGAAATTTATATGAATTACAATGACAGTGGTGAAATTGTAATATGTATGTTTTATACCGATACGGAATATTTAAAGATGACTACTTACCACAGTACATACTGCACCACAAACGATACGACTTTACTGATAGCAATAGAACACAGATAAGATATAAAATCGTTGGCATATAATCAGTTAGTGGTTTTTAAGACTAATAACATGTTCGCACTTTTAACTTTATTCAGCAGAAATTATTTTTACTGATCGTTATATAGTATTCATTACTACTTTACACATTGCTGTGCACCATGTTTTCGTCTTATTTATTTATTTATTGACAAATACAAAAGTGGTAAAGATTAATGATTATATAATATAACAGTCATTAATTACGACAATATATAATTAGGGCACAATTCCGATTTCTTTGGCGCYGCGATTTGAAGGTACCGTTGGAAAGAGGAAGTTCTCTTGATTAAAAAATATATGGGGTTATAGGTACCGCAAACGCTTTTTTACGAGATATTCGACCATAAAGTTCAAAAAGTCGCAAAATTCGAACATTTCAAGAAGCTAATTCGCCACATTAAACACACTTTATTCACATTTTTCACTTCAAATTAATTAAATAACACTATAAACTTTTAAATAAATCCACATTTTACACTTTTAGCAGGTTTTTTACCTAAAACATCTTTATTTTAAAAATTACATTTCTCACTCGTTTGAACCTCATTTGTTTACCAAAAATTACGACGAAATGGAGCACTGCCATGTGATGATTAGGCAATTCGATGAAACTCCTCTTTTTCGCAAAAATTCATGTATTCATGCATATGGAATTTTTTTTTTAATTTGTTAAGCAAATATGTAATATTATATACATGAATTAGTAATATTATATAATAATATTACGTAATAAAGTGTAAAGTATACAAGTACAGTACGAAAATTCGAATTTTGTTTCAATATGAGTGCATTACAACCATAAAATATAACCACTTTATAACAAAAACTCAATACATTTTTTTATTTTTAACGCAGAAAGGAGTACTACRCGAAAGTACTTCAGTCACCGCGGGTATTCGCTTGGCCAGGGTTATTTTGTAAAGCGCGGCCGAAGTCCGCCAACGCAGAAAGGAGTACTACGCGAAAGTACTTCAGGCACAGTACTTCAACGCAAAAGGAGAAAGATAGTATAAAATTGTAATATGTATGTATATAAAAATGTTATATTCATATATTATCACATATTATATATATATATATTCATATATGTATGTATAAGGAAAAGTGTTCACATATTCAATTTTAGCTTGAAAAATCATCTTTATAGTTTTTTTATAGTTAATACAGAAAGAAAGTACAAACAAAGAAAACGATGTGTGGCAAAGCTGGTTTTCCTCGGAAATATAAACACTCTAAACTTTTCATATATGTTATAATATATGTATGTAAATTTGATAATTGATTTTAAAATTACTAAATCTAGCCGAAAAATTACAAAATAAATGTGAAATGTGAGGTTATTTAGAGTATATATTTGAATATACATATAAAAAAAAGTGAAAAAATTTCGTGAAACATGGAGAAATAAATTTGTTCTTAGTGCAAATTTTTGAATTTTTAAACGTTAATATTTTAAAAAATAATAGTTATTTTTATATTGTTTTTAGATAATCCTCCTCTGGAGAAGCTCCTCTCTCCGTACGTACCCCATTTCTACGGAAATTCGGTTTTTTTACCCCTTCGCCAAAGTAATCGGAATCGCGCCATAATTAGAGGACAAAATTGAAGAATAAAATCCATATGAAGAGAAAAAACATTTAATATATATATATATATATGTATATAAAGCTAACTATAGTTATGAAACAAGATAAATTTTGTTTTAATAAACTGAATTACAGCATTTGAAGTTATAATATTGCGTTAGTTTATGAAGTCGGTACGACTCTACCTCTATATTAGCCAAAAGGCGCAGATTCATAGTGAAGTGGTGATAGGACTAAATATCCACTGAGCGAAAAATCTTGGAAAAGCCGAGCGACAAACACCACCTCTTTGTAGGTTTTAAAGATTCTTTTGACAGCACGAAAAGAAGCTGCCTTTCTGCCGCTATGTCTGAACTTGGTATCCCGCAAAATTTATACTTTAGCTGTGAAGTAATTCCACATTATCCTATCGTAGGTAATATTATATATTTTCTTAAAATTTCCTGGAGCTTATCATCAAGACTTCTGTTTTTTTGTTCAGGCAGCTGTTGTTGTTGTTGTCGTAACGGTAGAATTCTGCCGAGTTGACAGTCCTTGGCCGGATAAAAATCCGGGTCCGCTCCGGTTTTCGTAGGCCCGACTGTCGTGGGAACGGTAGTTCAGGCAGCTCTAGACTCATGGTAGCAAACTATTGGCACAAATCATTTATACAATCATTGCATACGATGCGGAGATCATCCAGATGCTTAGACACAGCTTCCACTTTGTGGACATCCGCATATGCGATTGTTTTCACATTTTTTTTGTTTGATGTATTCTTAGCACCCTATCGTACATCAGGTTTCACAGTAGTGGGCTTAATACTGAGTCTTGCCGTACTTTACTGAAGGTAGTGTAGCTCTGAGTGCATTCGTCCGCGTCGAATAAAAATCTCCTATTTTGAAAATTGGTTATTATAATATTTATCTAATAATAAGTCGCGAGTATTTCATATAGAGCTTATAATACATTTGCCTTCTGTAGCTTCATATATACATACATATTTTGTATGCCGTTCCCCAAGGGCCAATGTTTGCTTCTTCACAGTGGAAAGTTCTCTGATTGCCCATCTATTGGGAGTGGCCCGAAACGATTCTTTTACATATGGCTCAAGCAGCACACGACATCCGGTCTTTGATCAAGAATCCTCTGGGTAGCTTAAGAACATCCGTTTGAAGGCGAGCTAAAGTGAAAAGACGAAACATCCCCAAAAAAGGGTTGTGCTCTGGGATTGGAACCCGCCACGAAAAAAAGCCCCACATGAAAGATTACCAACTGCCTCGGATGAGAGACCCCCTTTTGATGACGACCATGGCTAACGAAATAATTACTACGATTTGACGACTCGGTCCCTTAATTGTCAAGGTGCCACTGCTCAGTTGGTTGATGTTCTCGTTAGAGTTAAGGCTGACACCACAGCCGTCCAAAAAATGCGATGGACGGGACAAGGACAGAGGCGAGTAGGTCCTTGTGGCATTTACTAAAGTGGCCATATAAAGGAGCGCAAGTTTGGTGTGGGATTTGTGGTGGGAGAGAGACTCCGTCGCGAGTACTATCACTCACTCCGGTGGATCAACGTCTAGCCACAATCCGCATTAAATCGAAGTTCTTCAACATATCGCTGATTTGCGTCCATGCCCCGACGGAAGAGAAGGACGGTGCACAAGAAAATACAATAAGCTACGTGTCTTTCTCTGGATCTAAAAGCTACTAGATCGATCATGTTGTGATAGACGGAAGACATGCCTCCAGTATTCTAGACGTGCGTACGCTCCGAGGTCCTAATATCGACTTGGACCATTATCTTGTTGCTACCAAGATACGCACCTGCTTCTGAGCAGCAAAAAGTGTAACTCAACAAACACAAGGAAGGTTCGACGTCGAGAAGCTGCAATCACAACAGATAGCCGAACGATTTTCTACTCGGCATGGATTCCTGCTCTCTGAGAGCACTCGTCAACAACTCGGTACAAGGAAATTGTGGGATGGAATTTCAAGCTCCTTACGTACAGTTGCAACCGTAATCATTTTCTTGGGAAATGCAAAACAACAGCTAGAGTGTCGTGTCGCAGCGGAGAGAAAACAGACTGCTTACCTTGCAACGTTACGATCAACCACAACACGTGGGGGATGGGATAGACCTCGAGAGTTGAAGAGGGAAGCGAGAGTGTAAATATGAAGAGCTTGACAAGCTGGCCGACAGGGGAAATGCTCGAAAATTTTACGAAAAGGAGCGGCGACTAACAGAAGGTTTCAAGACCAGAGCATACTCTTCTAGAACCCAAGGAGGTCATTTAGTAACTGATGCCCAGAGCATACTAAAACTATGGCGGAAACACTTCTCCAGGCTGCTGAATGGTAGTGAAGGCATAACGCCATTAGAAGGCGAAGCCGATTCCCCAATCTATGACGTTGGAGCAATTAACCCCGTGAAGAACAACAAAGTAGCGGGGGCCGATGGATTACCGGCAAATATGGTCGGATGAAAGCATGACCAACGATTGGCATTTAAGCGGAAGAAGTCTGCCGTTACAAAAACAACGACAACAACAGCAACAACATTGGGAATTTAAGTGTTCTCTGAACAATCCACAAAAAGGGAGACCCTACAATCTCCGCTAACTACCCTGGTATAAGTCTCCTCAACATCGCGTATAAGATTCTTTCGAGCGTATTATGTGAAGGATTAAGGTCAATCGTCAACAAACTGATTGGACCTGTTCAGTGTGGCTGTAGACCTGGCAACAACTGAACAGATATTCACCATGCGCCGAATCTTGGAAAAGACCTGGTAAAACAGCATCGACACTAGCCACCTCCTCGTCGATTTTAAAGCTGCCTTCGACAGCACGAAAAACAGCTGCCTTTATGTCGCGATGTATGAATTTATTATCCCCGCTACACTACTACGGCTGTATAACCTGACGTTGAGCAACACCAAAAGCTCCGTCAGTATCGGGAAGGACCTCTCCGAGCCTTTAGAAAATAATTCGAGCTGCAAAACTGAACCGAGAAGGTAAAATCTTCTATAAGAATGTACAGCTGCTGGCGTATGCTGATGATACTGATATCATTCGCCTTAACAACCTCACGTTCTTCTTCTTCTTGATTGGCGTAGACACCGCTTACGCGATTATAGCCGAGTTAACAACAGCGCGCCAGTCGTTTCTTCTTTTCGCTACGTGGC